TGAGTCAACCCTGAGCCGGTGAGATTTGAACAGCCGAACTGCAGTCAGCTGAAGTAGCCTGCAGTGCTGCATTTAACCACTGCGCCACCTTGGCTGGATAGCTATTTTTCTGGAATGGTATAAGGTCTTCTGTTCAAGTAGGAGGTTGGACTAGATGATCTCAAAAGTGATTCCTTCCCTCTTATTTATAGCAGGCTTCCCTCCAGAGATCCCTACACCTCCAACTTTCCTGGATTTTAGAAGTGATTTAAGCTTGTTCCTTGAACAGGTCCTGGGGACAGATATGCAATGAAGTTGGAGTATGGTGCTCTGTTTGAATTTAGTTTGATTACTATCTGTGATATAGAATGGTAAATTTTGCTTCATTTCTATGCATTCTTTATCCTTAGTTGACAGAATAAATTAGGGAAGCCAGCCCAATTGGTATAATTGGAGCAGCAGATAAATAATGTTGAATTTTTCTAGTTGAATGCCATGGCCAACCGAGCTGCTGGAAAGGGCTACGAGAATGTGGATAATTACGAATGCATCCGTTTTAAATTCATCGGTATTGAAAACATCCACGTGATGAGGAACAGCCTGCAGAAACTCCTAGAAGGTAGGATGTGCTTGGCAGTTATCTGCTTACACAGACCCAGAGGGAACTTCTGAATGGAAGACATTAGCAGACTCTGACTGTGTCCTCGGCTTGTTCGATTTACCTGACTTCTTAGCAGGCATTGTGCTTTGCAGTAATGAACTATTCAGGAGGAAGATATTATTTTTATTGGGAATGTAAATACAGGATGGTGTATATTGATTGAATCACTTTGGTGTAACAGTGATGCAGTATGCATTATAAATAAATCCTGGTTTGTTACTTAAGTTGTAATACATGTAGTGTTCAACTTACAACCAAGATTGAGCCCCAAATTTCTGTTGCTAAGTGCAACAGTTAAGTGAGTTTTGTCTCATTTTCCAATCTGTTTTGCCAGCTAAGCGAATCACTGCTGTTGTTAAGTGAATCATGTTATTAAGCAAATCTGGCTTTCCCCAGTGACATTGGAAGTTGGCTGGGAAGATTACAAATGGCAATCATATCACCTCAGGACCCTGCAGCTGTCGTATATATGTGCCAGTTGCCAAGTTTTGATCACGTGACCATGTGGATGCTGCAACAGTCATAAGTGCAAAAACCAGTCTTAAGTCACTTTTTTCAGTGCCGTTATAACTTTGAATGCTCGCTAAATGAATGGTTATAAGTTAAAGACTGCCTGTACTGCTGGTGAGAAATTACCCAAGGGAAACGTGGTGTGGATGCAGAGGTTATAACTTATCAGCCTCTGGAAATACCTTCTTTGTTACCTCGGCTGTCTCTTTACTGAAACTGTGGTTCCTCTTTCTTTTTTAGTGTGTGAAGCAAAGTCTCCTTCAATGAGCGACTTCCTTACAGGACTCGAAAACTCAGGCTGGTTGCGACACATTAAAGCTGTGATGGATGCTGGAGTCTTCCTCGCGAAGGTAAAACAACTCTGAATTCGCATCATTTTGCAAATTCCTGGAAAAGTTGCATGTTCTCCAGTGTGCAGTCTTTCTTGTTTGGGGGAGCTAGACCTTTGAAGCTAGACCTTTGAAGAAAACCTGGAAAAATGAGTGGTCAGCAGTTTCAAATTTCTTCAGGTTAGCCTCCGGGCTAAGTGTTAAGTCTTTAGGAACCCAAAGTAGCCTGCTGGTTTAGGGCCGTGGCTCCTCTGGAGAATTAGGGTGCGTAGGGATTCGTCCCCTTCCATGCGAGGTCATCTCTTTCTCCTGTGTGCTGCTTGGGGAATCCAAAGCATGGGTTAACTTTGTCCATTAGCCTAGAGACTGAGTTACGTAATTGTTGACCACGCTTCCTCTGACTGGATTACTCAGTTTTTTAACTCAGTTCAGCCTAAAGAGACGTAAAACAATTTGCTCTAGGACTATTAGACAAATCTCATTCTTCAGGATTCTTCATGCCTTAATTGATTACTGGTTAAAAGCAATGAAGTGTGATTCTGTGCCTGACTGTCTCTGGAGGGTGGCAGTTCACTGTCAGCCTCGCATCTTTTTGGCACGTCTGGCAGTTTCCCTAAGACTCTAGTGGCCGGGGGAAAATTTTGCCATGGAAGGCTCAATAAACGCCTGACTCACCTTAGTGTGCGCTTGAAAGTAGATTTGCCACTCTCTGTTCGCTGTGGTTGGGAGTTGGTTCGCCGCTCTCGCGCCAGTCTGTCCCTTGGGAGGTTTTGCCACCTTGCGCTTCTGTGCCGCTTTTACTTCTGTCTTTACTGCCGCTGGGTAGACCCCGCGATTCCTCGGTTTGCGGGAGGAATTTGGCGGAACAGTGATCATTGGGAATTTCGCACCAATCTTGATGGTGGTCGCCATTTTGGGAGCAGTTTAGCTGCGCTCCAACGAGCGGCCAGAAGGGGGCATGTCTTGCATTTCATGCCTGATTGTAACGGCTTTTTTTGCTGTATTCTCCTGTCAGCATACACAGTAGCTCGAGTCAGCAGCCAGAGACAGCCTCACTATTCGTAGCAGTGTATTCTCTGTTTCCAAGGTGGGGTGTGGGAGGAGTCACTGAATGGGTATTGTTACGGCCCAATTGCCTGGAGACTGAGGTAAATCTGAGGACACTCACTCAGTCTTTGGCCTAACAGGAGCTATTCAGTGACTCTCCAGTGAATAGTATTTAGTTAGGATTTTTGTACTATTTTTTTCCCTTTTTAGATTTTTACAGGAATTTTTCTAGCTACCTTTTATCGTTTGCCTCTTCTGCCTCAGTTTTGCGCCCTTTGCCTGGCTGCCTAAGTGCCTCCTGCGCTCGCTGCATCCCCGCAGGCCCTGCAACACCGGCACCCGCTGGAAGGAGAGGCGAAAACCGAGCCTCCCAGCCAGCTGCCATCCGGAGGAGAAGAGGAGGCCATAGGATCCACGAAGACTCTGGAGGCAGCAAGAAGAAGAAGGAGCAGTTCAGCCGGAACCGCTCTAGGAATCGGGCCATGTGACCAGCGGTCGCCATTTTGAGGCCTCGTGGGTGCATGCGCAGAGCGACAAAGCAACTGGTCTCAGTTGCTGCAGTTCCTCACCACCGCAAGAAGCACCAGGATCGTCCGGCAAGCTCTGAGCCGGCCATCCGGGGAGGGCCCAGCGCAGAGCAGTGCAACGGTCTCTGTTCGGTCTGCAGATCAGCGGACGGTCAGGAAGGGCCCAGATCCGAAGGAGCACTGTATCCACGAGGCCCAGGGAGACCAGGCCACAGAGGCAGAAAGAGAGAGAGAGGCAATTCACCACAACCATGAGTACTGCGATGGCGGATGCCATGCGGCGCAAGGGAGCCAGGCCTCCCAGCTCTCCAGGGCCTTCTGATCCGGGCGAGGGACCCTCAAGGAGGGCAGACCCAAGGCCCAGGGGGAGATCACTTCCTAGGAAGTGTTCCTCCAAATCTTCCAGAAGGGAGAGACCTAAGCAGGAGGCCCCTTCTACCAGGGCGATGAGCAGGATGGCTAGGGATTGCATCATCCCCTCGCCAGCTAGGTTTCGCTCTCCCTGCAGGCCCCCTTCTCCCTCACAGGAACCTGGCTCTCCAGGTCCAGAGAGGCACTCGAGGGAGTGTAGTCCCCTGTCTATCTCCCTCTCACTCACCGGGGGCAAGGGGGGACCCCTTTGGACGTAGGGCAGTGGGTTCTCCCAGGCAGCATTTGGCCCCTCAGGCCCCTGAGCTCAGGGACAACAGGGGGCCCCCTACCCTTTCCTTTGCCTATCCAGAACTATCAGAAGGGTTCCAGAATGTGCTGGCCAGGGCTATTGCTGATGGCATAGCCTCAGGCATGCAGCATCAGTTTCAGGGAGCCAGGCCCCGGTCTACCCATGAGGCTCCATGGGATCACCCAGCCAGGCCTGAGTCTTCAGTCCCCAGGGACTCATGAGCCTCATCACCTTCCACTGCCAGCAAAGGCTCAGAGTCAGGGCGGAGGAACAGAAGGATTTGGGGTTTTGAGAAGATGAGGACCCCTCCACCCCAGAAAACCCCTCCTTTGCAGGATTGTTCCCTCCCTCTTTGTTCAGTTCCCTTCTGTGCAAGGCCAAGGCCACAGCAGATCTGGATCCTCCTCCACCCACTAGCCAGACCCCCACCCCTAGTACTAGCAGGATTCTATAATCTTCGGTGGCGTCCAGACATCTTTTATAGCTTTGTTACTGGCAGGCTGATTTCTGGGCAATGTGGCCCCTGGCGGAGGCGGAATACACAGGAGACAAGCTCTTTGGACCCGCTTTGGACCCCATCCTCGTCAAGCATAAGAATAAAAGAAAGGTCTTCCCATCCACCGCCAGACGCGCAGACCACCGAGCGGCGCCATACGCCAGGAGAGCTTCATACTGACCATCGGAGCGGGACAACCAGGCTCAAAAGTACTCTGCTCCCAGGTACTCCAGACAGGAGGACAGCCAGTTCTCCAGGGAGAGGTTTAGACCCCAGCAGGCCGGCTAGCAGCCCTTTCAAAGGGGGCGGCGGGCGGCCACTTCTTCTGCAAGGGTGATTCGGGATCAAATCTACCCATCGGCGGTCACCTCTCCTTTTTCACAGACCGCTGGGAAGGCATCACCTCAGATGCCTGGGTCCTCCAAACCATCAGATCGGGACTCCATCTGGAGTTCCGCTCCCTTCCACCCAGTAGATTCAGCACCTTTTCCTCCTCCAAGAACCCGGCTAAGCACGCCCTCATGCACGAAGCCATCTGTTATCTCCTGGACATTAGTGCCATAGAGCCAGTTCCAGAGGAGGAGAAGGGATCAGGGTTCTACTCACACCTTTTCCTAGTTCCCAAAGGTTCAGGGGAGGTGGAGGGCCATCCTAGACCTTAAGCTCTTGAACTCCAGAATAGTCTACCAGAAGTTCAAGATAGCCTCCTTCAAATCCATCTTGGAAGGGGTCAGGCAGGGGGATTTCCTAGCCTCCATCGACCTCACAGAGGCCTATCTTCACATTATGATCGCCCCTGACCATCGCAGGTTTCTCAGGTTCTCATACCAGGGAGACCATTATCAATACAGGGCCCTTCCCTTCGGTCTGGCCTCTGCTCCCAGAACCTTCACAAAGGTAATGGCCGTGGCCTACCTCCGTTCCTTTCTGGTTCACCTCCACTTTATTTAGATGACATCTTAGTCCTAGCCCCCTCAGCTCCCCGCACAAAGAGGGATCTCACTACCACCATCAGTACCTTGGGATCCCTGGGGTTCTCGATTAATTTCGAGAAGAGCCACCTGACTCCCTCCACCAGGCTCCAACATCTGGGAACCATTATAGATTCAGTGGAGGGTAGGGTTTTCCTATCCCAGGAGCGCAGGGACAGCATTGTGGAATTGGCCCAGGAGATTCGCAGGCTTCAATCTGTTTCCGTAGCACTTCTCTCCAGGCTTTTCGGGAAATTAATCGAGA